AAAAACGTCGAAAAAATTAAATTTTGACTAATCACATCACAAAAGTGACTTTTGAAGTAACATTATTTTTCAAATTTTGATGAATTTTTAAAATTAAACATCTTGTAGAACTTTAAAAATTTTGTAATAGGTGTTGCATGGGAAAACGTCGAAAAAATCAAATTTTGACTCATCACATTACAAAAGTGATTTTTGAAGTAAAATTGTTTTTCAAACTTTGATAAATTTTTAAAATTAAATGTCTTGTAGAACTTTAAAAATTTTGTAATAGGTGTTTTATGGTAAAACGTAAGAAAAATCAAATTTAATTTAATATTAATTTCATTTTATTAATTTTTATTAATCTTCATAAGTTTTATAAATTTTTATATACATTTATATTATTCATAATTATAATTTACGTTTGCGTGATAAATTTAGTTTTAGTATGGTGTGTATAAATCTAAAAAATAAACAGACCATAAAATTGTCGCCGGCACCTCTAGTAATAATAATAATAATAAGCATGCCATACACTAAATTTATATTTACAACACGTTATGAATACGTAGAACAAAAATATTATATATATATATATATATATATATATATATATATATATAATAAAATTATATATGTCCCGAATGGACTCCTAAAATACTGAACCGATTTTAAATTCGATTTGCTCTAAAAATAGTATAAATCTCATTTATAGAGATATTACATTTAATATGATTTATTTAATATAATTTGATGCATTTTAATGATAGTAATGAATTGAAAAATACACAAAATAAACAATAAATTATCAGTCAATGTCAAAAACCAAATATATCTGGAGACTTCGAAAAAAAATGATATATGATATAAATTTGACCATAATACAAAATCTTGAAGATGCTATAGATATCAATTTATAGTCAAAAATTACATTGATAGTCATAAATTTGGTAAAAAAGAAATCTGACTAAAATTCAAATCAATTCAATTTTAAAATATACAAAAGTAAACTTTTGTCAAGTCAAAAATGTAAAATAAAGATAGAGAAGATAACAATAAAATAATAAATTTTAATATCATTTTTTTAATGTATTATAACGAGACCACGAAATATATTTTAGTACCAAGATATTCTTATTCAAATTCAAAATCAGAGAATCAAAAAAATATATAAATCAGAGAATTTCTAAATATTTATCATAAATTTGGGAAAATATTTGTTTATTGCGATGATTTTATGGAATTTTATAATATTTATTATTGATCTTAATTTTACCAAAAATATATGTTATTTAATCTTGGTTTTTATTGGTTTTCACACATTTAATATTGTTTTATTTTTTTAAGATAATGATTATTTAACCTAACTTCAGCTTTTTACTGCAACATAAATCTTTAACTTATGATCGATTACTATACTTATCAATATTCCTCTGAAGACTTTTATAATATTAACAGTTCTAATAAAAAAATGTTACCCATTCGTGTATAAATCAATTCTATAAATTCCAGTACGCCTTAAAATCAAAAATTTTAATATTTTAATATTCATCGATGAAAACAAATGAATATTTATAGATTCGTGTCAGACGTCAGACGTCGGCAAAGGTTTCTTCTTTTCGATTGATGAAATTTCTTGATATACAGGTCATAGAAAGAAAAAGTTTTATTTATTACACCAAAACAACTATTAGCATACTAATGTTATGATAAAATAAAATCAAATACTGAAGAGAAAATATGCAGTGAATTTTGTAGATCAATGTCTTTTAGATTTATTTTTAAACTTTTAGTAAACTAAACCCTGAGACATTCATATAATTTGAATAAAAAAAGTTTTATTTTAGCCATGAGAATATTCTCAAACAAATCCTCGAAGTAAATTTTCTTTAAACGTTCAATATATATAAAAGGAAAATAGAACAAGTAGAGTAAAGTAGATCTTAACTAAAAACAAGTTTTAGATGTTGACAGAAAACTTTCGCTCTAAGAACTAAGAATAACAAAAAAACCTTTCATACTGCTAATTTGATACTAAACAGACTTCCAGATGCACAAAAACCTAAATAGAGAAACGATATGTGTGTAAATATTTACCTTGATGTATGTAAACGAACCGATTTCAGTCAAGAAATAAAGAAATATAAATTTCATATTTATATTAATCTTAGCTAGAATTAGACCCAGGGGTAAATTTACGTACTATAGTTAGTGGCGCCCCTATGGAGAGGGGAAATAATAATAAATTGGCAGTATTTGCAACCTATTTATACTTCTTTTATCAATCCACTTTTTATATCTATAAATAAAACTTTTTTTAAATAAATAAATTATAAACAATTACTAAGATGATACCTACACTTTTACGAAACTTTGATACTCTTTGTAAAATATATAAGTTGCTTAAATAATTTATTATTGATTAGTAAAATTATCACTTAAATATCTCAAAAAATCTCTTATAGGTAAAATAATATATATCATGAAAGCGAATGTGTTGATAAACTGTTACATTTAATAAACTTTTAGTACCTGTTTCTTGAGGGCGCGACGACCCGGGCGCCAACGATCCGGGAAAAAAATTTAAGAAATAAAATTGAGTTATTAGGATTGTTGATTATTGCATGTTTATTGTCGAGTTTAAACAATATTATTACAATTATATAACACAAGTGCTTAAGAGGCAGCTTGAGGTTGGAAATTAATAGGAATCAAAGATTTAACACTTTTATCGAATTTATATTTTATAAATTTATATTTCATATAAATAATTAAATTAATTAAAATATTATCCAAATAAAAAATAACTTAGTTAAATTTTTCCTATATGTTTATTTCAAATATATTTAATTTTTTTTAAAATATTCTATTTCAACAATTGCTACTGTAATTAGTTTCATATTTTGTTCTTCCACTAATCGAATTGTTATCAATTTTCAAAATGACTAATTCAAAATGCGATAACATTGTCTTATCATCCCAAAATATGAGTATATTTGATTTTTTTCTCCAAAACACATTCTTGAACAATGATAATCTATTGAAATATTCGATAAATACAAAACAAATTAGGCATATGCATTCCGGAAATGTTATAAACAAATTGATGATAAATTTGTTGATAATTAGATGAAATATTTTAAATTAACAAGATTATTCGAAGATACAAAATAAAATATTAGAAATAATTGTATATAATAAATATTATTTTTCAGTTTTACTCAAGAATTTTTCATTTAGCAATGAACAAAATATTATTGTTTTGGAGCGTTTTGATTGTAAGTCCGTAAATCTATTTCAATAATACAAAAATATATATAAATATATGTAGCTAATGGCCAGATGATGTTGATGATGATGATGATGATGACTCCAAGATTAACATAAAATAAAAACAGGTTTTCAAGGTTAGATCGAGACACGACGCAACCAAAATATACATTAGGCGTTCTAAATTTAATTATAAAATAATACGAATACGTCTTTGTATAGACGTAAATATCGTTGTATATAAATATTATGATTTATTTTTATATAGTTTACTCCCAACATTTTTAATTTTAATTTTTGTGATAATGCTTTCATGTCCCTGTATTTATTATTCTTACAAATCTTCATTCTTAAATCTATCTCGGACGATTTGTATGCAAAAAGTCTAATTATATCATTATTAACTTCCTGTAAGAGGAGCTTGTTTTCGTTAATTCGAAAAATTATGTCGTTGTGAGCTAAAATTTGGCTTTTAGTCTACGTTTTCTCAGAAACGACTGCACCGATTTCAAAAATTTTAAATCCATTATAAGAATCTCGGTAATGACTAATGTAGTTTTGCTAGACGATTCATTATGATTATTATCATTTATATTTCTCAAGAGAAAACAAAATACTATTGATAGTCACTATTTCTGTATGAGGATGTATTTTCACATTTTAACTAGTTTATACTTTACACAACACTTTTTTTACAGGTTATTTCACTCTTATAATTTTTTTCATAAATCTTCTTTTCTACTTCCTCCTATTTTTTTATATTGATATATTATTTTCATAACTCAATGAGGGTGCCTGCTATAAGAGATTATGAAACAATTTTCACATTCAATTGAAACTCAATAATTTAAATGCTAGTTCTAATTAAATCCTACAACAGTTCCAGGATTCGATCCGAGGATCTCAGGCTTGTGAGTAGGGCATGATACTGACTGATTTTATTATTAAAACTTAACTTAAAATATACAATTATATAGTTTTTAACTAAATGGTAAATTTTAGTATAGGATATTTTAAAAAATTTGAGACTTTTGAATTGTAGACGTGGGTACAGGGCAACTTCTGTCGGGTTAGCTAGTATATATATCAAAAGCGTGTCACTGATGTTTACAAAGTAAATTGTAACGATTGCAACTGATGTTATATCGGCGAAAATTCACAATAAATTTACTAAGGGATGAATCAACATATATGTAATTCAAAAAATCCAAATCAATACAAGACCATGTTTTCTGAACACACACATAAGATTGATTCCCTTTTTCCAGATGATAATGTATATGCAATTTTGTACTTATTGCGTTATTTATTGAACTGAATTATATAATTTCATCTGCCAACATATACTGTTGACAGAATCTGTATTTTAATTTCTGGCACATCTCAGCTGCTTTTTAGCAATAGTAATGTAGACATTACATTTGACTTGTATATTATATTCTAATATTATCTAGGCTTATAAATTCATCTAAATTCAAATTTCAAGTAAATTGACATTTTTAGCAAATATTTTTAATGTCAACCAATGATAAGTGGTTGTTTGTAATTTTTGCCATTTATTTTTACAATTTTACTATAGTTCTAAATAAATCTTAAAAATTTCCTTCGACAAACTCTAGAAAGAGTTATCAAAATCCGAATAACTGTTTAGGAGAAGTATCAAGTCATACACCCCGTACAGAAGAATTTTATATATAAGATATATAATATGTCATTATATATTTATTATACATAATATTTTCTTTTTCCAGATGACGGTGCTAAAACAATGACCCAACAACAACCAGAAGACAATCTACAACCAAAACCACATTTATCATAAATTCATTACCCCTGACACAATTTTTCAATAGTTTCCATTCACAAATCGAACAAAATTAAAATTCCGATGAGAGAATTCGCTTGTGGAATCTCTTCTACCTGTTCCAAAAATAATTGAAAGTAAAAATACAAAATTTCGAATTGCTCGAAGCGATTCATTGAAGTGAAAACGAAATAATAAACTACTCTGAGATTGACCCACAAAAACAAAAATTGACCAATTGAAACGAAATGATAAAAGAAATAAATTAATCTAGAACAAAACTTATAAAAATATATTTGTATTAAAATATATATTTATTACCAAGTGCCAAATTTTATCAAAACCACAATATAATTCTCCTTTACCATCTAGTCAAAGGTCATCCTATAAATTATGTGTCAATCTACAATTTCATATTGAAATTCTATCTATCTATTAAATTAATATAGTTATTTTATTTTTTACAAAAATGGCGGAATTGCAATTTTTATAAGTTTTGTGTGATTTTTTTTGGAAAAAGTTGTGGTCAATAAAATGGGAGATGGCAGATTTAGTCGTATGTTGGATGAAGCAGTTTTGGAGGAATATTTGACTGAATATAAACTTCAAGGGCCACCTGAACCTTTGCAGCAATATGAAGGTAAACTTCAATAAATTAGTGATTAATTCAAAAAAAAATAGTTTACTAATTATTATTAAAAAACACAAATTAAACAGATATTGTGTTAAATTGATTTTGCTATATTATAAGGAAAAATTAATTTATGCAATATAATTAAAATAAAAATTAATTTAAAAATTTGGACTATTCTTGAAATTTAATAATTATATTAAAATCATAAATTTTTTAAACTTATTTTTAAATTTATTCTATGTTAAAAAAACATAGAATTTGTATAAATAGTGTAAGTAACAGTGCATGGAGATACATATTTTTTTAAATTATAGAGAAAAAATATGCAATAATAATAATAATAATAATAAATAAATATATTTTAGTAAATATAAATATGTACATAATAATTCTTATTTTGTTCGGATTTTTACCCGTAGGTATATCCATCATATATGGTAAAACAATAGTTAATATTTAAAATATAAAAGTTGTGACATAATTGTGTGACAAAAAAAAAGAGGAAAGGAAAATTTTCCTTCGCAAAAAACAAATTACATAGCAATATTTATAATAAAAGATAATTACACAAAAAAAACAAAACAAAAGATTTTTTCGTTCTGAAACATATGCAAAAAGTTGTAACTTTTTTTTAATAATGAGAAATCTAACTATCAATATATAAGGTTCATTAAATTTTTTTCAAATAATTTATTTTTACTATTTATATAATATATAAGGTTTTCAAAATTTTGTTTGTTAACATTTTCTATTTTCATTTTTATAAATGCTAATGTTAACATTTTTGTAACCATAAAATTCTAACAAAAATGCAACATTTTTTAGATTATGAGTTCATATCTTTTATTATTGTTATTAACTTTCCTTAGGGTTATTGTAATCGTCCAAAAATTTAAATTGAAAATTTTTGCATATCCTCACGTTTTGAAGGTTTCTAAACATTTTGGCATACCTTAGAAAAAAATAATGAATTTGTGTGTACGTGTGTGTGTTTTGTGTGGATACAATTTTTCGTCCACGTTTTCGGGCGCACGGACCAACCGATTTGAATGGTTCAAAAAGCATTCGATTCCTATTGATGGGGAGACGTGCTGATTAGTTTTTTAATTAGGATTTTAATTTTAATTTTGGATAAAGTTCTGAAGCTCACTTATACTTCAAATATTTAATTTTAACTTTCTAGTTTATATAATTCTTATAAATATTAGACGATGTCTTTAATTTTAAATTTACTTTTCTGTAAACAAATATAAACGTCGTCATACAATTCATAAGCTCTTATACTTCATTTATAAAATACGAACAATGAATGAAGTATCAATAATAATCTATTTGAAAACATTTAATATTTCTCGAATATTTTATCACGGTGCGGGACGTTCCAGCAATTTGCCTTAGGGCACGATGCCATACACCACTAGTTTATTTTTTCTTTATTGTTTAAATGTTTTAATAAATTATGTTTGTAATTATGAATATGAAAACCGTTTTTCATATAAACCAGAATTTTAGTATCAAAATCCTTACAAATTTAATATAATTCATTAGTGTATTTTCAATTTCCCGGAGAAGAAGTTCATATTTGACAAATTTGAAAGAACATCATGCTTTAGGAAATATAGGAAATTTTTGAAAGATCCTGATGTATTATTTGCTGGTTACAAAAGTTAACCTCAATCTTTGGAACCCAAATTTGTTTTGTGAATCCAAAATTCTTCTAACTATTCACAGCAAAAAACATTCATTACCGCCATTACAGATTTAAATAGCAAAATTGTTGTTATTTAAGGAAAGATTTAAGGAACCAATTAAAGTAAAAAGATACATTTAGGAGAATACATTTTTAGATGAAGTACTTTATCCTGCTTTTTATATGCATAATAAATATTTTGAACTCATTTTCTAATTTCTGAACTGTTTGATATAGAAATTGTGTGTCTAAACGCTTAAAAATCTATAGTCTAAATATTCTACCTTTCATCAAATTCAAAGAAAAAACATAAAACTGTCATTATATTTTTTCACCTATGGAAATAACTTAATCATTATTTATAGGAAATTATTCAATAAGTAAATAGTTAAAATTATATAATTACCAATAAAATATTGTGAATTTTATATCGAATGGGAAAACAACTACCGAGTTGTTTTTCCAACATGCCCTTTTAGTATACAATGTCCCTTTACTGCCGACTATTGTAAATTCATCAAATATATTAAATGTCCTTAACTGGACGGTTGTAAATAAAAGTGATAATAAAAAAAATTTTTTGTTTACCATTTATATAATAATGTTTATTATTAATGTTTTTTTCCCAGAGGGTGAATTGGAGGCTCGATGGCTCGATGCAGCAGGTCTAGGGTCCCTTACCCTGGCCTTCAAAAGGGGCAAAGAGTTGTCCGCCGAAGAACTGGCGCCTCTGCTCCGAGGTCTTACCAGGGCGCAGCAGGAGGCAGTCGGAAAGAGGGTCAGGACACTCAATAGGACTGTTAGAGCCAAAAGCAGCAAGGTGAGAAAAGTGAAAATATTCATAATTTTTATTAATAACTAGATGCCCCGACAGACGTTGTCCTGTACTTATGTTTACAATTCAAAAGTTCCAATTTTTTTAATAACATATACAGTAGAATCCGATTAGTATGATGCCGGATATATTGACAACCGCTTATTATGACGCATCGCACTAGGAACTTTGGTTTGCATATAAAATCCCTTAAAAACAGCTGTCTAGTCGGATATATTGACATCGCTTACATTGACATATCGCTTATAATGATCCATTTTTGCAAAATATTATGTCCAATTATAATGACCGACATGATTTTACATGATGTGGCCAAGTCTATAAAAGCAATGGCCATGTCTTTTGTGCACAGTAGCACCAGGGGCTGTTTTTACAATAAAATTATGTAAAGAAATCAATTAAAAATTACTGATTACTTACATTAAATACACCAATTATTAAGATCTACACCACGGATATCTCATAAACAAATAAAATTAGATTTTTTTTAACAATAATATTTGATAGTAGAGGGCAAAAAATGTAAAAATGTATAACCAGTCATCATCTTTATTCGTATGACTTTGCTATCAGAAGATAAGCAGCACATGAATGGGATAAAAAGGACCGGCTGAATCTTTACTTTGGCAATGATGTAAGCAATAAAATAGTAAAGTTACAAAAGTTAAAGTTAAAAAAAAGCAATTTTACAAGAGATTAATTAAATAAGTTGTTATTCCGGCTCTTCTAATGAATATTTCTGACCAATAGTAGATCAATGTAATATACTGTGTTATCTTTGTAACAAATGTACCCATAAAATTAATATTTTGCATTGGTTCAATAATGTAGCGTAAAATTCCTTTAAATGTTAATAGAAGAAATTGCATCTGTTTACTTCCTGGTTGTCCCACTTTACCCTGTCAAATAACTAGAAAATTTCATATAGAACCACCCCTTTTCAGTTAGAGTATATAGGGTAAAAAAGGTCAGACACCAAATTTAAAAAAAAATAGTAAAAAAATTATTTATATAATTAGGAATTATGTAAATTTTTTCCTGAACATAGTTCGATAGATGCTTGTTTGATGTGTGTTATGTGTTGCAAGGTTGTCATTGGGGTTAGACAGTATAATTACTGCAAGTCAAATTGGACCTTTGTGCCCCGCCCTACTCTATATCAATTTTATTTATCATTAAATTTTAATATGTGTTATTTTTATTTTTAATTAAAATGTATGTAGACTTTTCTTTTAAATTACTGAAACATGTAACATATTTACATATTAAAAAATTTTTTCTTCAGTATGTTTTGTATGACGACCGGTTAGTATGACGAGATTTCGGCATCCCTTCGATGTCATATTAAGCGGATTCTACTCTACTGATATTTTACCAATTAGTTAAAAATTATTATGTTTTTTTACACTACAGTCTGTACCGAAATGTATATAAATCCACCCATATGGATCTTAAATGTTGCTTAAACTGCTTTAATTAAATGATGAGTATTTGCTTTTCTGAAAAACATTATAAAACATTTTTTTCTTATAATTAGTTCTTATAGTTATTTTGAGAAAAATGAAATTACACCACTGAGAGGGATGTCATCCCCATCGGGAAATGGCAAAGGAGTCTAAATTATTTTCACTTTTGAACTTGAGGGTGAGATAAACCTAATTTCAAAATTTCATACAAATTGGAGCACAGTAAAAAAACTCAGACCCAAAACGCCCCATTGACTTGAGTAAATATTTCAAAAAGGGCTGTTTTTAGGGTTTTCTCGGCCATTATTCGATTTTTTCTCGCCCTAAGAACCATCTTTGGATTTCAACGAACATTTTAAAAAAAGAATTTGCCAAATTGGTCCAAACATTGTTGAGTTATGCGTTTACCAACACATTTTGCGATTCATTTTTATATATAAGATTGTATTAACCTTTTATTACATACCTCCCAGACATATATGGGCAACGTTTGCTAACAGTCTCTGTAATGGGTCAGAGATAAGAAAAAGAAATATAATTTTTCAAATATTTTAAGTCTTTAATGTCACTTGAATGGTATATTTTTGAAGGTTTGGGCTAAGAAATGTAGTATTAGTGGATTTATTAATTTTTATTCTGTATTCCTAATTTTTTTTGTCAGTTTCAACGTTTTTTGAGACCAATTTGGTCTTGCTGAATTTTCTATGAGAACTTATAATTTTTCTGTTTTCTGAAAGTGTTAAAGTAATTTACTCATTTTATTTTTAATATTAAAAATATTTTTTTCATTTTAAATAAATAGTAATCAGAATACATGCATTCTCTAAGCTATTCGGATCTAATTGAACTCAAAATGTGAGAGTTCATAAATAAGGCTGGTTTAGTTAACTTTCCAATGAGAGCCCTAAATACATTGAGTAGATCGTTTAATTCTTCTTATTATTCACAATTATCAATGTTACGTAGTTATAGAATTTATCTGTACTTATGTTACGTAGTTATAGAATTTATTAAAACTCTCCTTCGATAATTCAGGTTGTTGGGTTATAATTTAACTCTTGTAGCTGTGGACTGTATTAAACGCTGATTTGTTTGTATATTATGTATTTGTTGCAGTTCTAATTACAATCACTGATTTGTTACTAAGTTATAATGAAAGAAGATATATTTATTTTTATTGGTTATTTACATGTTGTTAAGCGGACTTTACTTTTAGAAGTGAACAACTAGTTCAATTAAAACACTCTGCTACCTCCTCTACCAGGGGTACCAACCATTCCGTGTAAAGCTTAATGTCCTGAAGTTTGTCATTTTCATGGCCAATATAATAAAACGAAAAGACGTTCGAACAAGTCTCTTTATTATATTCAAAAATTATTCTAGCAATATATATATCACATGATTTCTTTCATGCAAAGAAGTGTAGCTTGTGTAGCTTGTGTAGCTTGTGTCCAAGTTTTAGTTCAGGACAAAAAACCTCAAAAAATTGCCATAAATTACATAACTGTCTTCATAAGAATATTAAAACTTTTTATTACAAAATGTAGAGTTTTTAAGATATATCTATTATCCAGGTTACTTCTGGTACTGGTCAGGCAGGTGTAGGTGCCTGCAGAAGAGGCAGGATCAGGCGAGATATTAGAGATGTCTTTGGAGAAGCTGACGTAAGTATTTTAATTGTAATTAAATAGTATTTTATTTGATAGCATTTTTTTTATTTAAAAATTTGCTTTTATATGAAGTTATTTAAAATTTTGGTTAAATTTTAGGCATCCAGTACAGGAACAAGATCCAGAAGTGCGACTCCTGATTCTTTGGATTCTCAACCTAGTGATGAAAATTGGACACCAACGTGAGTAGAAATATAAATTTTGTTAGAAATAGTTGAGGAATTAGTAAAATTAATTTATGATCATCAACTATATTGTTATCTGCGACATTTAGTGAACTACTGAAAAAAGAGTGCGCGTAAGGTTCACCCGCGATTGAAGTAAAACTTTTTTGCTATTGTATAAAATGGCATTTAAGTTGTAGTCATACTTCAAATATAACATGATCGGTTTGTCATTGTAATTAACAATTAGGACTTACCTATAAAAATAATTTCCATTTTAATAACCTCAAAAATATATAGTAACTACGAATAATGCAAATTACTTCAATAAACTTACGTTGGTACCCGACTCGAGCGTAACGCTTTTTCCGTTGCATTTTCACAAATCTACACCCTAATAGCGCCTAAAGAAGTTTTACTTCAATAATTATTCTCAACTTGTTTTTTTTAATTTTTCGCATGGTTTTCATCGGTTGTTGATTAATATAGAAAGATGCACAAAACCCGAGATTTTACTAACACTTGACGAAATTACCAATATTTTTAAATTAACCACCATACACCATCTATCAGTAGATGAAAAAAGATTTTTAATATACAACAAATTTTCTTTTATAAAATATTTTCGCCTGATCGCACAGCAAATAGAAAGTACCAAGAGTTTTTTTATTGACTGCTAAAGAATGAAATATCGAATTCAAAGTTGTTTTATTCAAAACTTTTATATCGGAGTCTATGAAAGTGTTCCCAAGGAAATGTTGTAAATTTTATCTAATTTCACCCAATTAATTGAAAAGGGGTCGTTTCATATAAAATTTTTGAGTTATTTGACAAAAACCAAAAGACGATAATAACAAGTAATATCAAATGAGATAAACAACAAGGTAGCCAAAATCATTTTAACACTTTTTTATAAAAAATAAAATAACTATAAAATCTGCATACTTCACTGAAAATTCAACAAAACCTCAAATGCTTCCAAATTGATAAAAAACAATTTTTATGGAAATAACATGGTTAAAATTTAAGTAATTTAGTATACAAATTAATTTGACATTGGCGAAACTATCCAAAATCTACACAAAAGAATCTCTCAACAAAGAAATTATTAAAAAAATAAGAATCAGTATAAAACAATGCTCACAGAACACATAAATAACCTTCAGCATTTATTTTTGCTTCTATTTGTTATTTAGAATTTTATAACTTAACGTCAAGTGAATCAAAATTTTGTTGTTGTTTTTGCTACTTTTGATCATAAATAAAAAAAATTTAACAAAAATTTGATATATTTATCAAATAAATATTTACTTAGGAAAAAGAACCGAGAAACTTTGGTTGGAGTGCGAACTATCCTAAAGTTAATATCAAGAGCTAAAAGAATGAAATATCGAATTCAAAGTCGTTTTATTCAAAACTTTTATATCGGAGTGTATAAAAGTGTTAACAAGGAAACGTAGTAAATTTTATCTAGATTCACCCTATCTAATAGAAAAGGGGTGGTTTCATATGAAATTTTTGAGTTATTTGACAAAAACCAAAAAAATGTTATAACTACGCTATGTTATCGTCTATGGTCACTTTATTTAAAATTTAAAATATTACCAGCTGCTTTATTTATCAAAACTATTTGCCATAGGCATGATAAATTATTTTGCAAAATATTTATAAAACTTTATCTGTTGTTTAATGTTTTGAAATATTGATTTATACTCGAACAAGTAGGTAATATATAACAAACAGTATATCACCTATATCTATTTTTCTTCAATGGTTCCAGCTGCGTTTCTTGCACAAATATTTATAAAATGATAGGATTATTTTGCTTATGGAATAGCTATCGATGTTTGTCGGTTCTGTAATATAATAATAATGATTATGATTCATTCGTTGTATTTTTATTCTTTGTCATAAATTATAATGCAGTGACATAAGTCTTTGCTTTTAATAATTGTAATAGTTGAAACTGACTTTATTATAATTTTGTCGGGCTTGGTGAAAAGTCGTGAGTGAAAGCTTTGGATATATAAAATCACTTTGTTTGCTTTTTTTGGACAAAATGTAGGTACAATAGATTTATTTAATACTATCATTTGTTATATTGTAGAGTTTTTTTTATGTAATAATTTATATAAGTGTCTATTGTGTGAAAATTGATGTTACTCATTCATAAATTTTTCAATTAAAAATTATTCTGTTGTCGTATAAGAGCTAAGAACGTATGCTAACACCACATTGGTTCTTTGGTTCGATCCCAAGCTTGATCAGTTCGATATCAAGCAGTGTGATGTCAAAAATAATATATATATATACTAGCTGACCCGGCAAACGTTGTCTTCATCATTGTAGAAATGTGCTTTTTTTGCTGTATTTCAAACATTTTTTTTATCTAGACCTTTTTACCCTATTGGCGGGGTAACTTGGAATGGCCTAGTGGCAAACAGGTTTAATGTCTTTTTTTAATTTTAAAGGTATTTTACAAGATACTTACATTTTTAACTAATGTTACAAAACTACCAAAAGAAAAAAATACTTTTATTATGGATTTTCAAAGATTACCATTTATCTCCCGATAGTAAAGTCATTAGAATCAAGGTTATAGCTGGTTATACATCTTTTTTTCTCTACTTTCAAATATTGTTGTTAAACAATGCTTAACTTTGCTGATTTTTGACACATCGGTGGTGGACCTTTGTAACCCCGGACCTTCATATATTACTATCTATTCTTCGATAAATTCTAGGAAATTATAACTGGAAAAATGTTATTCGACGAAATGTTCCTTTGATCGATACCAAATTTAGATTCTGAATTTAAATAACATAAATAAAAATTAATATAACCTAGAAAATGTTTTATAAATACCAACGAGTATATAATTTTACAAATGAGATCTTTCAGAGCACCGTGTTTGAGAAAACTATGCCAAAAGTGCATTTTCATATTAACATCTCAAAAAAGTTGATATTTTGAGTTTCTAGTAACACTTGCGATCCGTTTAATAACGTTTTGGTGTATAAATAAAACTAAACTACTTACTACAATTTAATCATAATTAAAATTATATTCACATAAAACATTCTATTAAACGTAATTGAGCATCATCTGCCAAAAACGTTTGACATTTGACGTATTAGCCACCATCCATTGTTTTATTCAAATTACGCTTCTAAAAAAATGTTTAAATTAAAAATGTTAAGTTTCTACGCGATTTTGAAATAATATCTCACCTTTCCGACAACCTACTGATTAGCACGAATTTTTCAAGACTAAGACTGGCCAAATCGGTTTAGCCGTTTTCGAGTTTTAGCGGATCATTTTACCGAGAGCTTTATTTTTATATATAAAATATAAGGATGATCTTTAATATGGATGTTTTCGAATATCCTTGCTCCCAGGAGCTCAAATGCTTACAGAATTATTAAAAAAAAATTCTCTGAAAGTTTTATCTGTTAATATTAACTTTAAGATAGTCCACACTCCAACTAAAGTTTTTTATGGAAATAATATGGGAAAAATTCCTTTTGTTTTTTTAGAATTCTATAACTTTGCGACAAATGAATCAGTGAGAATAACATTGTATTTGCTTATTTTGATCACAAATTTTCTTTCTTACTTCAAATGAAAAAAGTTAAAAGAAAACATTATTTATTATATATACATTTCGATACTTGATGTGTGCCATCATTCAGCAGTGTATACAATAAAACCATTAATGCAAATATTCGAAAATTAATGATGATATAAAATTAGAAGAATACACTGACCAACCAGGACAAAAATAAATACTTAAACATTATATTTATATATATTTTTTTAGTAAGAAAGAATCAGACACAGCTCAAAATTTGAATTATGCTTTCAGAATATATCAATTCAATCAGTTCAATTTAATCTTTAACACCTTTTCTATAAAGAAAAAAGAATTATGACTTCAAAAGATTTGCTAATTTCTGACTTCTGACTTCTGAAATCTGAAATCTAAGAATTTTGACCTTAAAAGATTTGCTTTCCTAATTTCCTTAAATTCCTGTTGTCTTTATAAAAGTAAATATACTGCCTATCTGTTATATAATAGTTATTAGTTCATAATTAATTTTATTAAGAATAATTCTAAAACTGTTTCTTAATTTTTGTTTGTTTCTAATATGTACTCTCTTTTATTCTAATAAATGCTGACAATAGTTAATATATACATTTGCTAATTCTTCTCGTCCAGGATTTTTTCTTGTAAATTCATCTATAAATTTTTTCAACACATATTTTTCTTACAGATTAAGTATGTTGAAAAATTGATTCAGAATTCTTAGCCAAAAACGTGGTCGAACATTTGTTCACTTTTCTGCTAATTATAAAGAGGCAGCTTGATCCATCATCTTGTAAAACTAATTCACATGATGGAGTTTCATTAAAAGGCTTTTAAATTTTAGTAATTGGTGCAGCCCTTTTCACAGCCTTTTGTCATCAAAGTTTAAGAAAACGAGTAGTTTTTTTGACGTTTGTTAAAATTGAAATTAGACTATTTACTTTATATAACCATAGAGTACTTGGTCTTAATGAACATACTAAACTATTAAAGCCCTTTTTTTCTTTCAGACCGAGTTTCCTCTCAATTTTCGACCAGCCCCAATCGACCGGAGTCGCCTCCAGACGTCCTCCGCGCAGACCTGCCGCCAAATCCTCCGGAGTCGCCGGAGAAGTTTCTGGTCAACCTGCTGGCATTCTTATAGGAGGCAAACAGCCTCTGCGAAGGTCGCCGAGTGCCCCCTTGCAGGCAGGGAATCCCCAATCTGCAAGACTTAATGCTGAACTTTTCAGAGGGACTAGGTTGAGGGGTGATGTGGCATCGGATTCGGGTAAAAAATTAATAGATTTATAATAAGAATAGTTGCTTTAGAAATGTTTATTTAGAAAAATTATGCCGCAGGCCTAGCTCAGTTAGTAGCATGCCCGACTTGCATCCCAAGATCGTCGGGTCGAGTCCTGGCATTGTCTATATAATAGTCCATGTCTCATGGGCAACTTTACATGATTTTCAATATGTGTTTCCCATGTTTAAAGTCACTAAGAAGTTGAGTGATAATGTTCATAATTATGTAACAATTCTTGAAAATTCTTTATATTTAAGACTTTTTAACTGAATAATAATATGCTAATATACACTTGTAATTGAATTGATCAGTGATTTTAAAATGTAGATAAATATAGCAAATGTATGTAGAAATCAATATCATGTAAAGTTGTTAATAGAAATTGAATAGGAATTAGAAGTAAGAAAAAAAGCAGTAATTTCAATAAATTAAATGAATTGAATAAAAATCAAAACAAGAAATATAAAATAAAATAAAATAATGGTTATATTTTTATTAAAAATTTAAAAATTTTATAAACAGTATTTGGTGTTGGCCTCACTTTAGTTTTTTTGGTTCTAGTTCGTACAAATGAACTAATTATTTATAAGAAATGATTTTATTTTGATGTAAGTGTGTTAAATTTTATTAGTATATTAAATTAATAATACAAATTTATGTAATTGCAGAAGGAATAGAGCTCTTAGGATTTCAACGTCTGGGAACGATACCACGAGTGAGATCTGGCAGTGATCCTTCGTGTTCACTATCTGGGTAAGATATTAAAATTATATACATACATATATATATATATATATATATATATATATATATATATATTAGTAGTTTGGGATATGCAAGTGTTGTGTTAAGCTTCGAACAAGGAATCTTTAAAATACCAATTAAAAATCTGGTTTTGATTAGACGATAGAGAAATAAAACTAATATAATAAAAATTATAAATTGATTACAATTACTGTATAAATCAATAACAAATTAAGATTGCATTTTGGTCAGGTGAATGGATAATTGAATCGAAACCATTAGTGCAGAATATGGTTACAATCATTTATTTTACTGTACTATATGAAATTAATACCAATAAATTGACAATTAATACAAAGGCAATTCCAATTAAACTTTAAAGCTTTAACACATTAAAGTGCAATATAAAGTTTTTTAATCAAACTATTTTTTGTTTAAAAAAACATGTTTAACGAGACGTTTTGAAGAATGATGTTTCATTCAATTACATGAAGAAAAAGCAATAAATAAATGTTAAATGATATTTTCAGAAAAATTTTTTTTAAAAAAATAATATATATATATATATATATATATATATGTGCGTGTGTGTGTATATTAGATGGAGTCTTGGATTTGTAAATATTTTGTAGATCTTTCAAAGAATTAAAGAATCCAAAAAGTAATAAAAAAACAAATTCTTTATATATATATATATATATATATAATTCTTTTATACTTTACAGTAGATCTTCAGAACATATGAATGTTTCCCGAAGTCACAACAATTTATACTGCATGGACAACAATTCATCAGAAGGGTCTCCTTTGGGACAAACCAGTTCAGGTAATACATTGATAAATATAACACTTTTAATTAATAATTTTATTCATATTTATAACTGTATATAATTTTGTTCCAGGTGAGGATTCTCCAATGAGAGCTCTAAGTTTAGCAGGAGAATCTCCAACGGAGCCTCTCAGTTTCGAAAATATGTGCAGGCAACAATCCCAAGATAATGTACAATCAAACCTGATATGTTAAAATAATTATTTAGTTGTTAATTTTGTGTGTGTGGTATATTTTAGGACTGGGAGCCTATTTCTTTATGTTCCGGAGGCCTAGATGTCTCATTATTAACCGAATTGGAACTAAAGAAGTTACAACCTTTATTGTGGCTCGAATTGGCATCTTTGTTTGATGTCCACAATGTTGCTCTTGATAAACGTAAACCGTTGAAACGAAAACGAAAAGAAGGTAATTGTAAGTTAGTTATCAGTATTTTATTGGGATTTATGGTTCCAATTTATTTAGAGGGAAATTTGTTTGGTGTTTCTCTGAATGCTCTGGTCCGTCGAGATCAACAAGTTACTGGTGAAGACACTGCTTTGGTGCCTTTATTGATCCAGTGGCTTCTTGCTGAAATTAGGAAACGTGGGGTGAACGAAGAAGGTATTTTGCGAGTTGCTGGCAACAAACAAAAGGTAAATTAAAAATTTACTTCAACAAGAAAATGAAAAATCGAATTCAAAGTCGTTTTATTCAAAACTTTTATATCGAATTGTATATAAGTGTTTATAAGGATTTGTAGTAAATTTTATCTAGTTTCACCCTATCTAACTCAAAAACATTGTTCCCATATAAAGATTCTGAGTTAGTTGACAAAAACCAAAAAAAAGTCCCGAATTTTCTAATTATTGGTAAAGATTGGCTGAATTCTTTTTGATACTGGTGTAATTATCAGTTTTTGTCAAGTATTTTCTTCTCTCAGGTGGAATTATTAAGTGCAGAGCTTGAACGAGACTTCTACATCCGACCAGAGAAAGTAGCCCCACTTTTATCTAAGGCTGGTCCTCACGATTTGTCAGCTTTGCTGAAGAGATGGCTTCGGGAATTACCTCAACCTTTACTGTGCATGGAATTGGTGCATCTGTTTTATCAAGCCCATGGTAATACATCTATCAGTCTTAAAGAATCTTAAGTACAAAAGCAAATGTTTATTTAATTTGTTTTTTCAGCCCTGCCACCGGGAACAGCCCAGAACACAGGATTAACTTTATTAGCATTATTGTTGCCGCCAGAACACAGATGCACTTTACAAGCTCTTCTAAGTTTTTTCATGGATGTTGTACGTTCAGAGAAAAATAAAATGGATTTGCATAATGTGTCCATGCTGGTTGCTCCTTCACTTTTTCCACCCAGGTAAAAAAATATAGTTGAAGGAAAATTTACTTCATATGTTTATACTAGATGACCCGACAGACGTTGTCCTGTACCCAATATACATATATCATAAAAACTTCTCTTAACAAACTTCAGAAAGATTTATCAATATCCGAATAATCGTTTAGGAGGAGTATCCTTTCATACATCATTACTACATTTTTATATTCACATACATCCTAAAAAAAATTTCTTAACAAACTTCAGAAAGATTTATCAAAATCCGAATAATTGTTTAGAGGAGTATCCTTTCATACATCATTACTATATTTTTATATTCACATACATCCTTAAAAATTCACCTAATAAAGTTCAGAAAGATTTATCAAAATCCGAATAATCGTTTAGGAGGAGTATCCTTCATACATCATTATTATAGTTTTATATCCACATACATCCTAAAACATTCCCTTAACAAACTTCAGAAAGATTTATCAAAATCCGAATAATCGTTTAGGAGGAGTATCATTTCATACATCATTACTATATTTTTATATTTACATACATCATTAAAAATTCACTTAACAAACTTCAGAAAGATTTATCAAAATCCAATAATCGTTTAGGAGAAGTATCCTTTCATACTCCATTACTATAGTTTTATATTCACATACATCCTAAAACATTCCCTTAACAAACTTCAGAAAGATTTATCAAAATCCGAATAATCGTTTAGGAGGAGTATCATTTCATACATCATTACTATATTTTTATATTCACATACATCATAAAAAATTCCCTTAACAAACTTCAGAAAGATTTATCAAAATCCAATAATCGTTTAGGAGGAGTATCCTTTCATACATCATTACTATATTTTTATATTCACATACATCCTAGAAAATTCCCTTAACAAACTTCAGAAAGATTTATCAAAATCCGAATAATCATTTAGGAGGAGTATATTTACATACATCATTACAGAAGAATTTTATATATAGGATATATATATAACAAATTGTATTTCTTTGACAATTTTCTTCCTATTTGTGTTTTGGGCATAATAATGAAGACAGTACCAATCTACATAAGGGGAGTGCTGTGGCAACCCGGGGCGACATAGGCTTTTTTAATCCCTAAACCTTAATACATCTGTTACCTTATATACGATCTAATATTCTACTAAATTCCCTTAACAAACTTCAGAAAGATTTATCAAAATCCGAATAATCGTTTAGGAGGAGTGTCCTTTTATACATTATTACAGAATAATTTTGTAAGATATAAGATATAATTTAATTGATGGTTTTTTACAATTAGATTTGTCCATCCTGGTGATAAGAGTGATATAGCTGCTCAATTGCGTATGGCTGCGCAATGTTGTCAGCTGACTCAAACTTTATTGAGTCTCGGAGACTCTTTATGGGAAGTTCCACCTCATCTGCTGTCTCAAGCGAGACAAATGAGGAAGCCTGGACAAGTAAGCAATTCTAATATAAGTACAATACAAATCTATACCTGATATATTTATATAATGGAATATTATATATTTTCCAGAATAAAAGACAGTTGGTCCGAAAGAAGAAGATGAGCCCCACGACGTATTCCAATAAATACGGATAACCAACCAAGTTTGTTTTTTATACATATTTATAATAAATGTTTCTAGTTTCTGACCATTGACATAATTTATAATTATTTACTATTGCCTGAGTGCATTTAATTCATACACATCACATATGAAAAGTAATTTATGTGTACTTAATATTTATATTATATAGCATTAGATGTTTTCATATTTTGCATACATTTTATATTTGTACATGATGTACATAGGATCGAACTTGTGTGAAATAAGTAGACGATAATTTGATTATAAATTTATTATTATTGATAGATATAATGTTACCTTTATTTGTTTCAATGTTAATATTGTATAAATATTTAATTTGTATGATATATATTTAAGATATAAATATATACGTCAACTATAAACATTAATTATGTGCTGTTTTGTTTTAGATGTTTTATTTTAGCCTGAAGATTTTTTAAAATATAAATTAGAAAGACATACAAGTTCAGATAATGTGAAAGTGCAAGGAATTCTTCCAGAGATTAACCGAGCATGATGGAAATAAAAATATTGATCGAAACAAACACAATATAAATGAATTGGTGGCTAAGGCTTTCTACAATATATATTTAATACCCATGTCTAAGAAGAATGCATGGGAATACGAATTCTATTAATTAAACCAGTAAAATAACATTTTTATTCATGAAAAAATGTCATTCATGAAAATTTCATGAGGAAGACAATGATAACTTCTAAATATGTTTTGTTTTAGCCTGGAGATTTTATAAATTATATATTAAAATGACATACTAGTTCAGATGATGTGAAGGTGCTATTGTTGAAGGAATTCTTCTACAGATGATTGAAAGCAATTAACCGAGCAAGATGGAAACAAAAATATTGATCGAAACAAACACAATACAAAGGAATTGGTGGCTAAAGCTTTCTTCAATATATATTTAAAACCCATGTCTAAGAAGAATACATGGGAATACGAATTCTATTGATTAAACCAGTAAAATAACATTTTTATTCATGAAAAATATGTCATTCATGAAAATGTCATGAGGAGACAATAATAACTTCTAAATATGTTTGATTTTAGCCTGGAGATTTTATAAAATATGAATTAGATAGACATACTAGTTCAGATGATGTGAAGGTGCTATTGTTGAAGAAATTCTTCCAGAGATGATTAAATGCAATTAACCGAACAAGATGGAAATAAAAATATTGATCGAAACAAACACAGTATAAATGAATTGGTGGCTAAGGCTTTCTAAAATATATATTTAATGCCCATGGCTAAGAGGAATACATGGGGATATGAATTCAATTGATTAAACCAGTAAAATAACATTTTTATTCATGAAAAATAAAATGTCATGAGGAAGACAATGATAACTTCAACAGGTATCTGTTGTTTGTGGAAAATATAATGTAATTTTATATTACTGATCAATTTAAGCATAATTTAATTGAATTTAATTGATTAAAATTTTGACCAATTGAGATAGAAATTTAAACATAATTTTAAAAAACTCTGTCTATATCAAAAGCTTCGAAGCATAATTTGATTAAATTTAATTGGTTAAAATGCTAATTAACCACAAATATTGATCGAAACAAACACAATACAAATAAATTGGTTGATGAAGAACAGAAATCTGTTAAAGTTCTTACGTGTGCAACATAAATAATATATATTCAATAACCACGTCTAAGAAGAATACATGGGAATATGAATTCAATTGATTAAACCAGTAAAATAACATTTACATTCATTAAAAATAAAATGTCATGAGGAAGACAATAATAACTTCATCAGGTATCTTTCGTTTGTGGAAAATATAATGTATTTTCATATAACAGATCAATTTAAGCATAATTTAATTGAATTCAATTGATTAAAATGCTAATAAACCACCTAGCAAATTTATCGTACAAAATTATGACGAATTGGCAAGAATGATAGAAATTTGAACATAATTTTAAAAACCTCTGCCTATATCAAAAGCTTGGAAGCATAATTTGATTACAATGGTGATTAACCATTATAATTAACCACCTAGCAACTTCGTCACACAAAATTTTGACAAATTGTCATGAATGATATAAATTTGAATAGGAAATTTGAACACAATTTTGTAAACCTCTATCTATATGTGATAAAATAGAACGTATATCGTTGAAATGTGTATAAGTTTGTCCATTTCATTAGAAATAATAATATATGTGTTAACTTACATGTTCCAAGTGTTGACTATGTATCAGATCTACTTAATGGATTAACCAAAGGCACAATTTAATTAAATCTAATTAAATATGCTTAATTAAAATGTTAATTACACATTTATAACACAAAAACACAACCATTTAATATATATATATATATTTATTTTTAAATGATTTACTCTATTATTTATGTTTATAACTGTCAAAACACTGTCAGCAAGATGGCCGCCAGCGCGCGAATTTTAAACAGAAATTTTAAAAATATAAAATTTGTAAAAAAAATGTTTAAATTTAATAAAAGTAGATTGATTTTGTTGGAGTATACATTTATATGTATGACATTCTTAATTTTATTGAAAAATATACAATATACAAGTTTATTATACAAAATTTATTATACATTAAAAGGTTTCTCCACCTGTCACAAGCACCTATGTTGACAGTTCACGAAGTTCACACCGTTTTGATTTGTAAATGGCACGGTGAACAGACGTCTGTTTTGCAAGTTTCTAAATGAGTTAATTTATGTCCGATATTATTGTGCAAATGCTAAATAACGTTATAATTGAACATAAATAAGGTGTTGAAGTAATTTAAGTTAAAAGTTTACTAAAATCTATGAGTTTCGGTCCGGTAGGTTAGTGCATTATATACACGACGAAGACATTGCGTTTTAACTTGTTGTGAGTGTTTTTAAGTACTATAATGGATATTATTTGATGCAAATTATGCTAAGTACTGTATTAAGTATTAAAAACTGTGGTTATAGTGTTTTTTTGCAAGACTTTGATATAACCAAGAAAAATCACGTTTTTGCACAAGTGTAATGGCGGTTGCAGAATGGGGCAAAGAGTTTGACATCTAAAGGTAGGATTTAATTTTATTTGATGTACAGAAATTATATGAATTCTGTTGTATATAAATTATGATATATTGACAAATTTCATAAAAGCGCTGCTGAACTTTTTTCTTCATTAGGAGAATGTTTTAATGTTTCCATAATTGTTTTTATTTATTCTTCACGATTTAACAACAATGGCGATGTTTTATTTGTCAAAACCTGAGGGGCTTTCATATTTTAATGAAAAAATCTATTAAAATATATTTTTATAGATTTTTAGACCAAAGTTTTATTGAAATTCACGAATAAAATTGCTAAAAGTCGTTCGTGATTAATCAGCACTCGATTTTTATTTCTAAACAAAATCGTATTGCCACATATTGTTTATATATATATTTTTTTTTATAAATATTATTTGATTTTCAAATTTCTCAACTAAGAGTCTGTTTTTTATTCAGATTTATTTAATTTAATTTAATTTAATTTGCAATTATATTTCACCGACAATTATATGTATATATAATCAACAAAACTATCATTATATATATATATAATATATATATATATATATATATATATATATATACATATAGATTTATATATATATATATATATATATATAATAACAATGCATTTAACATTATTTACAGCTTTTTATTAGCTTTTGCATACAAATACTGTGAAATGAGTATTTCATTTAATATATATCACATATTTAAAAAAAATAGCATTTATATAACTCACAAAAAATAAAGATTACCTTTTATTATGTATTTATAATAGAACATTTTCTAGAAATATCTCTTGAAGAAATTTTCAAATTTTCCAAGAAGTAATGTAAAAAATTATATATATATATATACATATACATATATATATATATATATATTTTTGAATAGTCTTGAATTTGATGTTGATATATATGTTTAATTTGAGTTTAATATTCGGGCGTAACATCAATAAAAATAGTATGAGTTTTTTTTTAAAAATTTATTTATTTAAAATCCATACGTTTCGGCTAGCATCTTAGCCATCATTCAGTGGTAATCAAGTTAACTATAAAAATTAAAACTAAATAAATTATATGAAAGGAAATTTCAAGGAAAAACAATAATAATAATAATAGTAATAAAACACTTACAATTTTGTATCCTAATATAGCATATGAAACCATTATTAATCCATGGTATGAGTATGTGCACATTGATAAGATATATATTTTTTAACACAAACATCACAAATGGTAAAACACACTAATAATCATGATAACTTAGCAAGTTGTCGAAACTATGTATTTACTCTTCGGAGTTTAGGATATAAATGTCACATTTTTCTCAAAGCAGTTTTTAGCATGTGTTGATATTTTTTGGAAAATTTAAAAGGCGATGGGATTTTGTTATTTTTTAAGGAATTTTGACACGCTATTAAGAAACCACGTGTTCGTTTCGTTAAGGGCCGTATTGTCAAAGCGTTTATTTATGACTCTGTCGTTATGTAATTGTAAAAACAACCCCTCAGCGAATCTTCTTTTAATTGTATTCTCTTCAAAATGTAAAATTTTAGGGTTAAAGAAATCGATATTATGATTTAAATTTTTAATATGCTCAGTTAACATTGTTTTAAACTGCTTAGGATTTTTTGAATTATTTTTGTGTTGATTAAGGCGTTTACTCAGGTTTTGGCTAGTTTCTCCAATATAAAAGAGTTCGCAATTAGAGCAATTAATTTGATATACTAAATTCCTGAGGCGGTCAAAATTGAACTTAGATTTCATTTGTGTAAAAATTGAACTAAGGGTTGCATCACAATTACATACCAACAGAATGCCACATTGTTGAAATAGTTTTTTCCACGAGAAATATAAATCTTTTATGTACGGTAGGCAAATGACACCAGTATATGATTCTAAGTCTAAGCGGTTTTTATGGTCTGTGAGGTCTTTTTGTTTGTTAAAAATGTAACTGCGTCTGTTATTTATGACCGAGTTGATTATGTTCGTAGGATATGAGTTGTTTTTCAGTGTGTTTATAACCAGGTCAATGTTCGTGTCCCAGAAGTTTTTGTCAGATAGTAATATGGCGTGGTCTGTTAAATTTATTATTGTCGCTATTTTCATTTTAAGAGGGTGGTATGAGTGGTAATTTATGTTCCAGAAACCAACTAGCTCCGGACGATACATAAATTACCACTCATACCACCCTCTTAAAATGAAAATAGCGACAATAATAAATTTAACAGACCACACCATATTACTATCTGACAAAAACTTCTGGGACACGAACATTGACCTGGTTATAAACACACTGAAAAACAACTCATATCCTACGAACATAATCAACTCGGTCATAAATAACAGACGCAGTTACATTTTTAACAAACAAAAAGACCTCACAGACCATAAAAACCGCTTAGACTTAGAATCATATACTGGTGTCATTTGCCTACCGTACATAAAAGATTTATATTTCTCGTGGAAAAAACTATTTCAACAATGTGGCATTCTGTTGGTATGTAATTGTGATGCAACCCTTAGTTCAATTTTTACACAAATGAAATCTAAGTTCAATTTTGACCGCCTCAGGAATTTAGTATATCAAATTAATTGCTCTAATTGCGAACTCTTTTATATTGGAGAAACTAGCCAAAACCTGAGTAAACGCCTTAATCAACACAAAAATAATTCAAAAAATCCTAAGCAGTTTAAAACAATGTTAACTGAGCATATTAAAAATTTAAATCATAATATCGATTTCTTTAACCCTAAAATTTTACATTTTGAAGAGAATACAATTAAAAGAAGATTCGCTGAGGGGTTGTTTTTACAATTACATAACGACAGAGTCATAAATAAACGCTTTGACAATACGGCCCTTAACGAAACGAACACGTGGTTTCTTAATAGCGTGTCAAAATTCCTTAAAAAATAACAAAATCCCATCGCCTTTTAAATTTTCCAAAAAATATCAACACATGCTAAAAACTGCTTTGAGAAAAATGTGACATTTATATCCTAAACTCCGAAGAGTAAATACATAGTTTCGACAACTTGCTAAGTTATCATGATTATTAGTGTGTTTTACCATTTGTGATGTTTGTGTTAAAAAATATATATCTTATCAATGTGCACATACTCATACCATGGATTAATAATGGTTTCATATGCTATATTAGGATACAAAATTGTAAGTGTTTTATTACTATTATTATTATTATTGTTTTTCCTTGAAATTTCCTTTCATATAATTTATTTAGTTTTAATTTTTATAGTTAACTTGATTACCACTGAATGATGGCTAAGATGCTAGCCGAAACGTATGGATTTTAAATAAATAAATTTTAAAAAAAAAAACTCATACTATTTTTATTGATGTTACGCCCGAATATTAAACTCAAATTAAACATATATATATATATATATATATATATATATATATATATAATTTTCAACCAAAGAATTCAAAATTTCTTCAATTGATATTTCTAGAAAATGTTCTATTATAAACACACAATAAATTCTATTATAAATATATACATATAAGCAATTAGAACAAAAAAAAACAATTTGTTTATAATTTCAAAAAATGAGATTTGTTATAAATAAACTCATGAATAAGTATATCATGCAATATACCACATGTAGTCAAAGATCTCTCCAAATTTTAAATAATTTCTGAAACGATTCTTAATAATATGTTAGAAACTATTCATAATTTTTCTTCATTATTTTCACTATAACATATAAATAAAATATTTAAGCAATAACAAAATGTGCAATTCTTCTTTAAAGAATCCAATAATGAGTTTTCCTAACAATTAACAAATAAGTATCTTTTACATTATTATATCACATATTTAGTGATACTCCTACTGAAAGTTTGAATAAATTTCAAAATCTTCCAAAAATTTCAATGCAGCATCATAAATGTATTGGTATTGATTCTGAAAAGTAAAAAATAAAAAAAATAGTTATAAATTTATAACTATTTCTTTCTTCTTAATATAATATTTAATTTAACACTTTAACATTTATAAATTATTTATGCCCTCGAAGATCAGTTTTTAGCTTTAAAATTGTTTCCTCAAGAAATGTAAAAGTTTTAGCTAGCAATTTTTGTAACAATTTGCTTTTATCATTATTATCCGTATTAAAAACTAGAATTTTCTTAAAGTTTTCTAGAAGCTTTCCCAGAAAAATAGCTTTTTGTAAACTAAAGTGTTATAAATAAGGTATATAACTTTTATGGTGAAAATTGCAACCAAACTCAGAAATCAGAAATATCTTACTGTTAACAGTTCAAAAATTTATCCATTTCGAATTAGATATAAATCTGTTTTTAATTTTTGGGGTGCGAAGCAAAATATTCGAAGATTCAGTATTAAATTATGAATTATTATAAATCTTTCCTTTACGATAATATAATAATTTACATTACTTCATCAATTTTTACTTGCAATATTATTTCCTTAAACAGTGTAAAAGTTTTAATTAGCATTTTTTTAACAATATGCTTTCATTATTCATCATTCTTATCAAAAATTAGATTTTTTTTTAAAGTTTTCTAAAAATCTGTACCAGAAAAATAGCTTTTTCTAAACTAAAGTGTTATAAATAACGTATAGTAAATAAATTTATTGTAAAAATTGCAAACAAACCATTTTGTCAAAAATATCCAACTTCTAGCAGTTTAGAAATTTGGCAATTTTGAATTGGCCAATTCCATTTTTGAAAATTCAATTCAATTTTTTTATTTGAAAATTCAATATTAAATTATTTATGCCATCACGTGCCAAAATCCAATGAGAAAAAAAACTGTATATAAATAATTACAGAATTACCAGATTTTTATAATACTTTGCAAGGACTGTTGCATTTTCAGTTTTGACTTGCCAAGGATTTAGTTATTAAATTAGGATTTGTTAAGGATCAAAAATTTAGGATTACATGCATTTTTTAATTCCAAGATTAAGTAAATATTTAAATTGTAGCTAATTAATTTTTGAAGGTCTTAATGCAGTTTTATGTTTGATCCCAGATTATTTCTAGATAAAATGCAAATTCGTACTATGTTATTTTCAAATTGACTCCTTACAGACCCCATTTTGGAAAACACTGCTTTAAAAAAAATCAATTTTATTCACCTGATTCCTTACAAATTCCTTCCTGTGTTTCCTGATGGTACGAATTGCCAAAGGCACATCACACTCCTGTTCCAACTTTAACTTTTCAATACAAAACACCATTGCAACAAAAAGACCACAGGCAGTTGCTCCATCACTAAAATAAAATTAAAACAAATTTATACAAATGTACAATTAATTTATCACAAACAAAAATACTTACAAGCACGTCAAAAGTATTTTAGCATCACCACAAGTCAGTTTTTGCAATTGTTCCCAAAAAGTTGGAAGACAATCTAGATTTTCACCAGGAGCAGTCGGTAGGACTTTGTCTTTGTTCCAATTTTTTATTTGCACAATGGTCACGATTTTGTTTACTTCTTTGCTCTAAAAGATAAATATTTTTAGTAAGGAATGGTGAATGTGTAGTAGATCGACTAATAGTACAACCTTTGTGGTGTCTTTGAAGTCTACGGTTATAATAAAACAATATTCAGTCTCGAATTTGTTTTTGTACTTTATCGCCAACTGTGGTATTGGTGACAAAATCTCCTTGGTTTCATTTGGGATAAAATCTGGAACACTCTGTAAAATCAAGAGTTGTTCAATAAGCATCAACAGGTATGGATTTAAACAATTACCTCATCGCTGGTGTCTATTTTGTTGAGTACACCCACTAAAGAGATTTCTTTATCTGATATCATTCTCCAAAAATCTGAGACAGTATGGTGCAAAGGAAAGTGTGTCACGATGAATTGATCTTTGATTCTAAAACCGTCCACAAAAACTGCATTGATGTAATCAGAATTTGCATCGGATAAGGGGAATCTTGATAGGAATACACGACCTCTGGTACCTAAAACAAAAATTCATATTGAGTGGGATTATCATATTTTTTTCTATTATTTTGATACCTGATACAATTTTGTTCCTATTCTCCTTCCTATTAAGATCCTCTTCTGATGGTTTGTTGTCAGCACACTTCAAATAATCATCCTTCCAAGCAACTTTGTCCAATTTTATCCAGTTATCGAACAAAGTATTATTCCTCTTCATTTCAGCAACGGCTGATTTTAAATTTTCGCAAGGGATGCTCGTAGGTTCACCCAGTAAAGTTTCTAGTACGACCATGTGTACCAATTTGTATTGGTCCTAAAAAAATAATAAGACTTTAATTTATTTACTGAGATTTTTTGGATGTAAGGCTTACACTGCTGTCCACAAGATTTGCTCTTTGTTCTCGTATCTTGTTCTGGTAGTAAAGGATGTCTATTTTTCCAGTTGCTCGTGCCATTTTGATGCAAATGTCTGCTAAAATTATGGTTCCTGTTCTGCCAACTCCGGCACTAAAAGGTAAAGAGGTAAAAAGGTAAAAAAAAATTAATGCAATATGTAATGCAATTTCTGACGAGTTAGGAGATGTGGAAAAAAATAGTGGATCTATGAAGGTCAACAAATGGCAAACTGCAAAAAGGAGCAGTGGAAACAACTTTATTGGACTTCACATTTTTGTGCAAAATACAACTAAACTAGTGGTGTATGGCATCGTGCCGTAAGGCAAATTGCTGGTACTTCCCTTAGCTTAATGAAATATTCGAGAAATTTTAAACGTTTTCAAATATATTATTACAAATACTGTAACTTTCATTATTTCTGCTATCTTGTTATATCTGAGCAAATAAAATGTAAATCATAAATCAATTTATCTTCAGAACATTAACAATCATCATTTTATTTCGAATTCAATTTCAAAAAAATAGTTGCCTAATTTTACACAAAATATTTGCACAAAATTGAAAAAGTGCTCCCGTATAGTCACAGTCTAAACGCATTTTGCAAATAATTCTGTGCGACATTTTCACTTATACTGTGCTTAGCTTGACGGCATTTTCACATTTTTCAATAGTTTTTACAAGATTGGAAAAGTGCTCCAGTACAGGATTAAGAACTAATCACAAAGAACTTAGAAGGTTATTGATCAGTAAAAACATTATTCCCTAAAAATATGAAGGTACATTTGCAGTTTTTTGATGACAGGAATTGTAGTAAATTGTATCTAGTTTTTTTTGATACAAATTTTAGATAAATAGCAAATGAAGGGTTTTGGGAGACTTCTGATCAGTAAAAAATGAATCCTTATAAATTATGTTCCCATACCTGCAATGAACAATAGTTGGCGTTTGATCAGATTGTATACTTTGCATTTTATTAATAAAAGGAACCAGAGCTTCTGGATAAAGTGGAACTCCATGATCAGGCCAAGCTGTAAAATGCAAATGCTCCAACTGCAAAATATCATACAAATCAATTATAAATATTACACAAATATTTCACACTTTGTTGCTTACTATATAACTCTCCGATCCATTAGTGATGTTCAAAGTTCTGTAGACGAAATCTGCATAAATCCTGGAACTTCGATGTTCGACTTTGATATCTCCATAACTTTCTTCAGAACCTTCTTGCTCGGGCCAGTACTGGTGACACTTTATCTATAAAAAAATTAGTAAGGAACAACTGGAAATCAAAATGTGTTTTGAACCTACTTTATCCGATTCTTTGATATTGGTCAACATGCAGATGGCAGTAACTTGCTCTTGCCAAACCATTCTCCAAAAGTCGTTTACGGTTTGCTGTTTTGGTCCTTGGGTTGCTATATATTCTTTTGGACGTAGAAATCCCTAAAAGTGAGAAAAAATTGTAATTTAGATATAAGGTGGAGCAGGACTCAAAAATCCACAAGTATAAAAGTCCACAAAAACGAGTAAAATGAGGTATTTTTTATGAAATTATTTTAAAGTAGAGGGCAAAAGATGAGTAACCAACTATCGCCTTGAATTGGTCGATGTTGCAATTAGGAGATAAATGACTACGCAGTCAATTTTTTAACGAAGGTATTTTTATTGTGAATTTGCTAGTTTTCCTGGGGTTTGAGCACTGTTGTTTAGTTCACGATACCTATAATATTGTATAGCAATGGGTAAATAACTGATATTCCTTAAATCTTCATTAGAATTTAAAATAATGTTTTTAAAAAAGCTACCCCTTTTCATCCCGCCCATGGAGTAAAATGAATCTGATGACAAATTTTAGAAAAATATCAAAGAACATATTTATACAATTTGATAGATCTTTCTTAAAATGCAGTATTTCTTGTGATGTAGATGGTCTAGTTTTCACTGCATAATTACTAAAATTTAAATTGGATTTTTATGTCCAAATCTACCTTATGATAGAGTCAATAAAACTTACGTCAACGTAGTTTGCATTTATGTAATCAGAATACTTGTCATTAGGCAACTTCTTCAAAACAACCCTGGAACTATCATCTGGAAATCAAAAATTTGAAATTGGTTGATGTAAAAGTTTTTGAGTTAGGTGAGTATACTTACAAGCTATTAAATTTAAATATCGGTTTTTAATTTTGTTGGCATCTTGTATGCCGTATCCAAACTCTTTCTGCATGCCTCTCTTGAACTTCTAAAAAGATAAAAAATGGTAAAGCAAGTTTACTGGGGTTCACAGTATAGAAATAATATAAGCTAAAATACCAAAATTAGAAACTTTTGTATCAATATTTACTCAGGATTTATTTTCTTTACCTTATGTTGCATTTCCAACTCCCTATTAGCCAACGACTCTTTGACATAATGTTCAAAATCTTCAACGTCTACAGGACGACTGATTGGTCCCTTGAACACAATTTTGTTACTTGGTGCAGAAGGTTTGGCACCAACATTAACCAATGGTTTATTAGGACCCTGAGCCATCATTTTATTACTTGAAATAGGTTTGCTAGCAACATCAACCAATGGTTTACTCGAATTCTGGATCAGCATTTTATTATTTGAAACACAAGGTTTGGCAGCAACATTTGGTTTACTTGGTTTTGGACTTGGTCTTTGTGGTAGGATGACTGCCCTCAGTTGACCTGGTAGACTTTCTTGTCTTGGTTTGGGAATCATTTGCAATTCATTTTCTGGAGTTGCATTGATATATGGTAGTTTTATTGTTGACAGTTTTTGGTGATATCTGGAATGGATGATCAACCTGAATGAGTCAAGGAAAATCTACCAGTTTAGTATATAAAATTTAAGACAACTAAAATTTGATGTACACGTTGATGATTTTCGTGTTTCGACCTCTCTTACCTTTTATACAAAACGTACACAACCACTGGTATTATTAGGAGAAAAATCAAAGCCCATAAATGGGAACTGGTTTCTTCATCATTTATATTGCTGTTTGACAATATTGTATATTTTATCGTATCACCCAATTTATTATAGTAAACCAACGTAATTGTATATTCCGATTCGAGAAATAATTCTGCATCCCAGATATCACCTTTTGTTGTGTTGGATCCGATTAGAACTGTCTTATTTTCTTTTGGAATCTTTGGAAACAGAAAGATTTAGTCTTCACAATTTTATAACCTTGTTATCAATAGTACTAATTACGTATATGGTTTATTTTTACCTCGTCAAGATGTTTGGCAATCCAGGATACAGTATTGTCTTGTCTTAAATATGGAAGAAATTCCCCATGTTGCTCCTTCAATTTATCAAATGCAAAATTTTTGGATTCGACGAGATCTTTAGGATCTTGTTCACTGACTATTATAAAAACGCCACTGAAAAATATGAATCAAGAATAAGTTTTGTTAAAAATTTACTCAAAATCAGAACCAAGAAAAATAGAGGATGTCCAATTAAGTTGAATTTAATATAGACAGATTTTTTCAGTTGTCACCTGGATTTTGTAACATTTTCATTCCCTGGTGGTATCGTCACTGACATCTGACTGCGACCAGATTTTATGGTAAAAATATCTCCGGTTATTTCTGGTTCCACAACCGAAGTCGTTACATAAACCGAAGAAAGTTCTCCAGGCAGTGTGTTGTATGATGTTATTCTTACCAAGTATTTGCTGGCACTTGCTAATCCACTGAGCTAAATATTTAGTTATTACTTGGCTTTTACTATATTGAAATATAATTTAATAGTTACCAAATATTTGTATTCTGGCATGTCTTCATCGATTATGTACTCGTGAAGGGTTGTTCTCGTAGAAGTAAAGTTTCTAAGATTTGTGGATGTAAGTGTTACTTCTATATGGAACGACTGTATCTTTCCTAATGGTTTCCAAGGATGATTCCAGTAGATCAACATTTGGTTCTCCTTGTCTATACGTATATTTCTCGGTTTACTTGGACCTTAAATATGTTATCATATGAGCAAATTGGAACTGATCAAAAAATATTAAAGTATTGTGAAAGACACTTTCAATCGAAGGCAGTTGAAGTGGTTACGATAAATTTCATTTTTTTAATTTTTATTGATACTACTACTGCAAATCATTCAGGTTTATTTTACCGATCGATGAAGATATACAACTAAATCTTGAATCGGATTAAAACAAACCGCACAAATCTCACTTCCAATGAAGAATATTATTTATTCCAATTTGCTAATGTTTTCTCCATGTTTCAAGTCATTCTGCACCGTTTTGCTTCACAGAATTTTACACTTAACAATAAAGAAACGGCTTGGCCTGTTCAGTAAAACTAATCAAAGCAAGACTTCATTGATTTGGTTCAATTGGTTTTTAAATTTTCGATAAATATTGGCGTAGGGTCAAGTTTTGACTCTCATATATGCCCGTACTTTCTTCAATTTCGGTCTGCACCGATTCAGAATGACTTAAACATCGAGAAATGATAATGTTAACAAATTGAATTTACTGACATGAACTTCTCCTTAGGGAAGTTAACAATCGAGTTTGGCCCAATTTCTGAATTTAATGATATAATAATAAAGCAATGATATGATGTTATAACTCACTATTTTGCACAGTTTTAGTCACAACAAATGCAGTATACCCTTTCTTTGGATTTCTGTTGAAACCATACACCTAAAAATATTAAAAATGAAAATTTAATTACAATGACTAACTTGTCTATCACAAAATACTTGCAGTTATTTCATATTTTTCGTTCGGTCGTAAAGCTGATATCGTATGGCAAATGTAACCATCATATAATAAACAACTGTGCTTTGTATTATTTTGTATTGATGTGGTTCTTTCGCGACTATTATAAGACTCCAATACATAATATTGCAAAATTCCATTCACAATATTTGATGGTTTCCATCGTACTGAAATGCTGTCCTCTTCACTGGAATATACTTCCAAATCTTGCACAGCGTACGGAGCTAAATTTGTGAAAATATTATATTGTCTTCATTCTATAGAGGTGGAGCACAACACAGAACTACTAAAGCTTTAAAATCCACTTACGGCTATCTGATGTATTGACAATCCTAGAAAAACTTGGACTATTTTTATCATTAAATTGGATTCGATATTCGTTGAAGGGACTCAACTTGTCAATGACACATGGAGTAGTATTGCGGATTCCATAATCTATGCATGTGGTTTCATGATTATTCACAAAGATCGTGTAGTATTCCAAGGGGCATCTATTTTCTATTTCCTTTATATGAATTTATACATATTAGTGTAAGATTATGGCAAAATATGTATATATCAGAATTACCTCCCAATATATTGTTATACTATGTTCATCACTTTTGTAGTCAACATTCGAATCTGCAAAGATCATTAGTACTGAGTACTCAAACATTCATTAGACATGAACAAATAACTGTTATGCATTTACCTGCTGGTTTATTGCAAGTTGGTTTCAGATAGACAGGAGGACTATTTGCATATTCACTTTTTCCATCGACGTAAAGTAGAACCCTCACCAGAATATCTTGCCTATGTATTAGATGGTTGCGTGCTATACTACTCGATATGAATACAGGATTTAGATAATTCGTTATTCTCATGGTATCAGAAAAAGGGTAGGCATTTTGATCTATATAGTATACGTATCGGATTGTCATATAGTTTGCTATTGTTCCACTTGCTTCTAAAGATTTAGGTTTAATCATAAAATTCATGAAGCCCGAGCTTATGACATCGAACTCTGGATTTAATACTGTGATATCTAGAATAAAAGATAATGAAATATTGAATTTTGTAAAATTATGTACTAAAATACGTAACCCCAGACACTCATTATTTCTTACTCAAATATCCGTACAGTTATTAGTACACCAGGAAATAAATAGTTATGTTGAGAACAATAATATATCAACTTATTTTTTTCTTACCATAGCAATTGGGTCCATTGAATCCAGGATAGCATTTGGGGTTTTGGCCTCTGATGTCATACATTTTATGTTCACGGCATGACTGTGCTTTGAAAATATAATAATTGTAACAAGTTGGAGGAGAAGTAAAAACTGGTGGCGAAACAGTAGCTTCTCGATATTGAGAATTTATTATTTGACATGATTCTCCATTGTAGTCTCCAGAGAACTCCACATATTTTTCTTCACCTTTGTTATAAAAGTATATGTTAATTTATGTTATACAACAATGACCAAAAATTAAAGCAAAAAGTTTGCAAAGAAGATAAAGATCTATGAACAGACATGGAAGGAACAGTAGTTGAATGTGGTGTTGTCATACCACGAAATTGCCTCTATCTATTTATTTACCTACTGTGCATTTCCTAACATTATCAATCGCCCAAAAAACACTCGTGTTCGAACCATCCGTAAAACCTGTTGTGAACCTCAACTTTACATATTTGAATTTGTTTTCTATCAAGTTGAATACAAATTTTTCTTCCTTCCATTCGTACAGCTGGTTTGAATGCACACGACGCTGAAATAAATATACAATAAATAAATTAAAATTGATTTACACTTTGAATTAATTTCTAACCTGGTTTCCGTCGATGACCTGCGAATCATACAGAGGCTTGCCTGGTACATCTATATGCAATTGGAATGTGCAGGTTGGACACAGGGCGATGGACATGGCCAAACATAGAACATCTTTGTCGAATTGAAAATAGTTCTGGTTACCAGTGATAAATAAAGTGCCATTTGGCATTATCGCCTCACTATATAGCATTTTATCTGAGGAGCAACATTTTGGTTGAAATCAGATAGAAGAACAAAAAATAACAAAATAGTCCAGTCATTATAGTAAATTCACCTCGTAATTCGAAATACCCGGCTTTAAGACTATAAATACTTGTATATTAACACCCTAAAGTTGCCTCAAAACCTACATATGATATTGACACCCTACCATATGTAGGTTTTGAGGCAACTTTAGGGTGACAATATACAAGTACTTACAGTCTTACTTTCCAAGATTCTTACCTAATTTAAGCTCAAATGACTGGACTAAAAAGTTCCAAGTCTTTTATAGTAGTTAATCACAAAGAATTTTGAACTTTTTGGATCTGGATTTCTGGATCTTTTTCAAAAGTAATCCCAATAATACCCTATCATCATAAATAATCTTGGACTTTCAATTGAGACGAAACTAAGTCATTTTTGAGCCGATTTTCTCACAATATTTTTTTTATCTATTTACAAGCGTAGGCCCTAGCCGATGACTACGAAAGTCACTTTGATTTCTTTATTCATTCAAGTTTTCCAAAATAAGGTAAAAAATCTGTTTACATACAGACACACACACACACTATTTTCAAATTTGGTCTCATTCGATTCAGAATGGCTTGGAACGTCGAGAAAACATAAAATTAGCAAATCAGATTTTCTTTATGTAATTGGATCAACGAATTAGAACATTACATTTATGAACTTTCCATAGTGCATCTTCTTCCAAGCTCCTCACTCCAAAGTATTTAACCAGTAATGGATTTTGATGGTCAGTATATTCCAAAATTGGCACGTACTCTTCATTTTCTTGTAATTGACCATATAACACTATTTTTACCATCGATGGATTCTGAGAGATAAATAATGTAAAATGTGACCATCTCTCTTCATCGACTAAAATCTGAAAAATGGACAAAATCCCAAAATTTAAATATCAAAGTCACAATTGTGTTGTTTTTTTTTGCTTTGGTTTA